TGACTTTCATTTTCATTTTTTATTAGATAAAGCATTGTCAACCATTATTATTGATTTTTTACTTGTATTTACTTTATCCTTCATTTTTTATTAGATGAAGCATTGTCAATCATTATTATTAATTTTTGGCTAGTATTTACTTTCATCTTCATTTTTTATTAGATGAAGCATTGTCAGCCATTATTATTAATTTTGTATTAATATTTACTTTCCTTTTCATTTTTTATTAGATGAACATTTTCAGCCATTATTAATTTTTTTACTATTAAATATTTTAATCTTAAATCCTTAGTTCCTTTTTATTGAATTTTTACTCTATAAATCAGATTTAGAAGTTTGATTATCATATCTGTAATATTCTAGAATCATTTCATTTGAAAAATGTCAAAATGTGTTGAAATTTTTTCAAGTTAAAAGCTGAATTGTAGAAAAGTATACAATCTTACCAATAACTTTCACAATAATTGGCACTTTGTCACTGCCAACTTCATTGGCCATAGTCAGTTCATATTTGCCAGAGTCTGTTCTTTGTGCATCAGGAATTACCAGACGTGTGGTTCTGTCTGTTGTTTCCATATCCATGTCTTCCTCTTTAAGAGCGACTCCATCTTTTGTCCACATTGCTTTAGGTGTTGGAACAGCTGCATAAAAGAGAAATCAAAAGAAATAAAATCAATTATCATTGAAGAAATTATATATTGACATATATATATATATATATATATATATATATATATATATATATACAATGATATACTGTACAAATCCTAAGAGCCACACAAGATAGATGGTTACAGAGTAAGAGACACCACAGCAAGCAAGAAAATGCCACCAAGACTCAAGGGAATACCGGAAGTGAGAGATAATGAAAAGGGTTTAGAAGGAACTGGAAACCCAATCCTAAACTGAAAACATGGGATAAACCTCTACTCCTGTTCAAAATACCAGAGAGGAGTGTGAACCAGGCAATAGGCAAACCTATCTACTCTTCTCCTAGTTGATAAAACATTGACACTAATACTATTTACATTGTTTGGACTATCATCCTCATCTTTGTTGCCACATTTATCACAATGTTTCAGCTGATACGTTGTGTGCTCCTGCCTTCTTCAGGTAGTTGGAATGTCAAACTGAACCCTTTATTTCGCCCATTGAAGTAGACTGTTCTACTTCCTCAAGGACACATGGCACAGTGAATAAAGGCATTAGTTAGATCCAGTGACAGGACCCAAAGAGTGGGAGTTCAAGACCTGATTAAGGCGGTGGAGAACTTGGGGAGAGAAATTAACAGGAGATAACTGATAACTGACATCCATTAGACATGGCACATGGAACTAGAACAGTTTACCCCAGCAAGTGAAATAAAGGGTTCAGTTCGACATTCCAACCACCTGAAAAAGGCCGGAGCATACAATGGCTAAAATGTTGTGATAAATTTGGCTACAAAGATGAGGATGATAGTCCACACAATGTCAATAGTTTACATAATACCTCATCTCAGAAATACATATATTAACACTAATATATAATATTTTATTGGAAAGTTTTCAGACTTTGTGCTGTAATTGTACCTATGGTTCACTACAAATTTCCATTGGTGTCCAGTCTGTTGAGTCAGTCTACCATTAGGTTTTGAAATTGTGTTCAGTTATTATTCAAAGTTTGTAGTGCAATGGCTCTGCAATCTTTAAGGCTGACAAATTGAAATAATGTGCTTCCATTATATTTTGCATTAAGCTCAGCAAATTTTCTGCCCTTGAAATACCTTTTTGTGCAAATGTTCTTTACATCAAATATGGGTAACTGACTGGCATATGCATTTCTAATTTGGTCGAGCATCGGTTCAAGATGAGTGTTCAAGCTGACCAGTCACCAAAAAAATACCAGAAAAGTTGAAATAAAATTTAGAAGGAAACCTAACCTGAATCAGGAAACAATGGATAAACCTCCTGTTTAAAAACCAGGGAGGAGTATGAACTGGACAATATGCAAACCTATCTACTCCTATTGAGAAAAGAAAAAAATAAATCAATACTAAATAAAATTTAAAAGTTATAGGTAGACACATTAGAAGTATAGGGTTGAAGTAGGCTTTAGAAGGAACCGGAAACCCAATTCTAAACAGGAAACAAGGGATAAACCTCTACTCCTGTTCAAGAACCCTTCTTCAGAATGTCTTGTGAGTATTAAATTCTCCAGTCTATCTTTCCTTGTTTCCTAGAAATTTCAGCTGATTCTGAAAGTATTGGTTGTCCTTGTGGTTCCTATTTTCTAAAAGGACATGAAGAATAATGTGGGGATTAATTCAACTTGGTCTGCCAAGATACCCATTAAGTGGTGCTGTTTCAAATCTATAAAAGCTCAGGTATAATCTTCTTTCTCTTTTTACTCTTCATTCTAGCATGTGGTAGGTAGAAGACTTGTCCAGTCTTTCCTTTGTGATCCCTTTGAAAGTATATAAGTATAGCCACAAGGCCAGATAAGCCAGTAAGGAGAAAGAGCAGCAACATGCAATATCTGTTCATGACACTATGACTTAACAGTCACCCATCTTCCTCACTGAGCTACATGATACTTGCACTCTTCCTCACCAAGCTACGTGACACACTCTTCCTCAACAAGCTATATGACATTCTATACTTTTCCTCACCAAGCTACATGGCACAAAAACTCATCCTCACCAAGCTACATGACACTTGCACTCTTCCTCAGCAAACTCCAGGGTACTTGCATGCTTCTTCAGCATGCTATATGACACATACACACTTCCTCAACAAGCTACATGACATTCAACATTCTACCTCATCAAGCTACATTACACATACACTCTTCCTCAACAAGCTACATCACACATACACTCTTCCTCACCAAGCTCACTTACATGTTCCTCCCCACTTTCTCTTTTGCCTCTTTTTTCACACATACATACAGAGAAATCACATTTCTTTTTGTCTTAACAAACAACTAAAAACAAGGAACTTCAACACTCATATCAGTTGAGAAATATTTAGTTATAAAAACACAAAAAAATATTTTATATTTAAAAACCTTTCTCAGTTTTTTCTTTGTTGAGGGTTGATTCAAATCCACAACAAATGAATGAATGAATGAAAACTGATGATCTATAGTAAAAAAAAATTCTTGAAAACTGATTTTTACCAGAATATGGAATCTCCAGATCAATTTTCTCTCCCTTCTTGATAATAATCTCTTTTGGAAGACTTTTGGTGTTCAATTTTGGTGGCTTTGGCTCTGGAAAAAAAAAAACATTAAAATCAGTGAAAAACAAATCCTAAAAAGATTGTTTAAGGAATTTCTTAAATGTTCCTACCATAGTGCAGGTTAACATTTATAAATAATTTTATTTAAAAAAATATTATATGCCTCACTAATTCAGACAGCTAGACCCATTTAGTTATTATATTTACAATGTTTCGACTGTTGTACCCTCTGGTATTCTTCACATATCTGACTTCTTGCTTGGCAACCTACTCAGAATTAAAGCTGAATACTTTATTCAATTCACAGGCAGAGATTACTCATTTTACTTTCCATATTTAAAGCATATTTTTTATCAGTTAATACTCTCCAGGTTAATTCAGAAGTAACCATAAATTCTTTTTAAGGACCCCAAATATTAAAGCTGTGTGCTTTGGTTTGGTTATTTATATTTTATGGCATATTAATATATGGGAACAACAGCAATTAAGATGGGGTTCCATGCTCCTCAAAATCACCTGATCAGAAGCCTTGCTGACGGATGTAGTTTATTGTCATACCCAGGACGTTTAAGCTGTGTGCAAAGTTCCCAGTATGCACATAGTTTAAAGTTAATAGTATTACCCAATCCCAATAAAGTTAATAATATTACCTAATCCCAATAAGGAAATTCAAGAACACTATATCATGCTAGACATTTTTTCTCTCCAGAATCTCTCTTACATATTTATAAGTCTACCATTTTCCCATGCTTTGAATATTGCTGCACCAAATGGTCTGGTGCTCCTGTTATATATTTAAAGATCCCTGATAAAAATCCAAGGAAGAATCTGCAACGTTACTTATCATGGCCTGGCATCTCACTTTCAGTTGCATTCCCACCACTGTAACATAGCTTCCCTGTGCATTTTCTATAAAAACTTTCATGGTAATTGTTCTGATGAACTTTTCTCTATGAATTTATGCACAGTACTAGATTAGCACATCAGTAAATGGTATTAGCACATAAGTTAGATTCACTTACATGCTAATACCCTTGGGAAAGGTATGAATCCTCTTCTTCTCCTACCAGCTATGGGTATATAGCAGGATAGACCAGGTTCTATAGCCTTGGATGGCAACTGGTCTACCACAGAAAGAAATAGCAACCCACTGCGGGAAAAAAAGTCTGCTTTGTCAGTCATGTATTGAAGGATACATGAATTTCTAAGCGTGTATCATGCATAGCACATAATTGACTGACTGACTAGATCAGTGATAAGGTCTCATCATTTTACAATTGAAATTGCTAGATTTAACCGTAAGTTCTATGCTAACAGTTTCTTCACTTCCACTTCTCACTTGTGAAACTGTTTTCCAGTCTCTTGCTTTCCAGTCAACTTTCATCTTTAAAGGCAATATCAATGGTTATCTTCTGTCTTCTTAATTCTTGTTCTTTTATTGTCCCCTCTCCTTAATAATATTTTTTTTTCATATTCTCTATCACACAGTAACCCTTTGCAACTTTAATGCCTTGCTTGGGGTGAAATGATTCTGCTGGTGTTGCATGAACATTGATCTTTTTTTTTAAAATCATTTCACCCCATGCAAGGTGGCAATGCCCCTATTATACAGGGGGTTACATGGAGTGTAAGTGAGAGAAAAGATTGGGTATAGGGAGGATTGAGGAAAAGTTAAAAAAGGAACAGGATTCAAGAAGATAGAAGATGGCAATTGACATTACATTTAAATTTTTGAAGATTGTATTTATCAAGGAAGCAATTAAACAGAAGGGTGTTCCACAGGTGGGAAGTGTAAGAAAATAAACTGTTGGAGAAAAAGAGGTGGTTGTATTTAGCCATTTCAACAGTAAAAAGGTGAGACATAGGTGTCAGTCTAGTAGCACACTTAAATTAACGCAGCCAGGTCAACAGGGAAAAAGGCTGATCAGAGCAGTTTCCATGAAAATATTTGTAGAAAAGACAGAAGGAAGCCATGCAACACCAGTGAGAAAGTAACTGAAGTCAAGATGCCAAATCAGGATTGATTATATTACAGACTGTTCATTGGATTTTGTCAAGGACCTCAAGATGAATAGCAGAAGCACCAGACCAGATATGACAACAGTATTCAATGCATGGATGAATGGTAGATTTGTAAACGTTCAAGATTGACTGTAACAAGAAAGACCTTCTGGCATGACACAGTGACATAACTTTCCTTGCAGTAGATGCAGCTACTAATCAAATGTAGTTGTTCCACTTCAAGTCCATTGAAAACATGAGGCCAAGAAGGCAGAGAATGATCTATGTGCTTCATTTTCTTAGATACTAAATATGTGCAAATGTTTGCATTTCTAAACAAAGGGTGCTGGGTACTTTTGCACACACCTTGACATATATTTCGTAATTCTCTTTTTAAAATGAAATTTTCTTGTCTTACTTACTTTCAACAACTTTGACCTCAGCGCGGGTTGCCCTTTCACCAAACTTGCAGGCATACATTCCGGAGTCTTTCATGTCTGCCTTCTTTAGAACTAATTTGTATTTGTCACCATCAGCAGATTGAATAACTCTGAAAGAAGAATCCAAGAAAATTTTTGTACAAAACTGCTATTAGCACCAAGGTTTTAACAGGAATAAAGTTGAAAACATTGCTTTTGGAACCATATTCTCTATGAAAGGAACTGACATTTAAAATTTGATGGAAAGATAACCATAAAAAATTGTCATGTTCTCAGAAAGTCTCAGCAGATCGAGATCATATAGATATCATCCATGATACCAAACTCATATCTAAACACTCTGCTGTATACAAGGAGTGATAAAAAAAAAGTATTGGAATTGTTACTATGACAACAGAGCTAAAGTATGCAGAATGAAGCCATTTGGTACCGATTGACCTTGAACTCTGTCGCACATGCACACTAAGTTATAATGCTCTCACTACCTTTTGTTGTTTATACCAATGTTCAGAAGGAAAGTGTGTAGAGTGTGGTCATATCACCACACCACAAAGTTTCGATTAGTGACCATGGCTTGTGCAGCAGTTTTTGGCTAAGCACAACATTTCTCAGAGCTTGCCCTTTTCCAACTTTTTCCTATTTAAAAATCAAATATCCAACTTGAAAGGAACAACATTTCAAGATGACAAAACAGCTTCTCATTATCTCAAAGAAGGATTTCCAGGAATGCTTTCATCAATGGAGATGATGCTGGATAAAGTGTGTGGCTTTAGAAGGAGATTACTTTGAAGATTAAATGTTGTACTGATATGTGTTGTAGTTTTTTTTGGGTTTTTTTATAGCACCATTTATGATAATTTTTGATGAAACCTCATGCAACCATTTTCTCAAACAAATGGTTAAAAATTCCTTTGAGTGCATGAAACCTCTAGATCTTGGTGACGACCATCCTTTGAAATTTGTGAACCGATTCTGCAGAATTATAAAGAACTGTACTGAATAACAGAAGCCACATCCCCAGATGACTTTTAACAGCAGCAACAGATAAAATGGATAGGAAATCTAGCTCAAAGAGATATAATCAGAATGTTAACATTCTACACTATGTCAGAAAATAAGTTAGGAAGGAAGATCCCCCCCCATCAATATTGGAAAGAGTAATAAGTTAGTGGCCCTGATAAAATTATTGCCCTGAAAAATTGTGAATTGATTTTGCAGAAGAACTGTACCAAATGACAGAAGCCACATCCCCAGATGACTTTGAACAGCAGCAACGGATAAAATGGATAGCACATCTAACTCAAAGAGAAAATAATGACAATCATAAAATCAACATTCTTCAACTTTTCAGATAAAAGGCTAGGAAGGAAGACCCCTACCCACCATCAATACTGGAAGGAACGATAATAGGTAGTGGTCTTGAGAAAATTATTTCCCTGAAAAATTGTTTTAATAAACATTTCCTAAATTTCAGCTGACAGTATCATAAATACCAAATGTTTCCTTATAGGGAAACAGTATTATCATTATCCTTGCCATTGTACTGTTCATAAATGGTAAATGGCAAATATGAAAATGTGGTTAGAACATTCCAACCATGAAACCCGGGTTCGAATCTCATTGTGGTCGATTTATCAGGAAGGTGAATTCTTGATGTTATTGGTCTTGGGGAAGCCATTCCAGTGTACACAACATTTGGAAAGTGCCTGAAAACCAAGCCATGTGTTGACCCTAGCCTTGTGACTGAAACTGAGTGGACAGAAATATTTGGGAGCCATCGATGGTTGTGTTAGAACAAAGTCGCAAGTCATTGTGATTGAGGAGGGTTTGAGTTTGGACTTGGTCAAACTGTTGATTGCAACAGATAATGCACTCATTTCCAGAAACTGTAAGTAAGGTCCACTCAGCATAGCTGCAGTATAAACTACAGGTGAGCTCTATGGGTGTTGAACAAACACAAATGTGGCAGAGCAAGCCTCTGCTACAGGGATTGGCTAGTTGTCTTAGTAAACAAGTATAATCAGATACAAGCGGCCCGCCACCAGAATTTGTAAATAAGTTCTTCCAATTATTTTAATTTAAAAAATACAATCTATAACAACACGTTTGTTTTTTCCATTATCTCCATGACCATACAATATGCAAGGAATGTTCCTAGAATTTTCTTTTTTACATTGGAATATCTCTTTTCCTCTTCCTCAGATACCATGCAGAACACTTGTTAGATCATGTGAGCCATAATGGTCAACCAAGTGAGCTTTGTTTTTTCAGAGGGCAGATTTTCATAGACACCAACAATGTTACTATGAAACTAATGAAGCTTATGCTTCATGGCCCCTAATCCCAGAGGGGCACCATAAGATCCTCTTTTTAATGATTGTTATTAAAATAAGATTATTTTGGTGATAGAATCATAAGCCATTATGTTGAAGTCCACAATGTTGGCCTTAGAACATGCTCTAATACCCATTTCATATGATCTCAAAATTGCCCTGTAATTGGTTAAATTTTAAAATTTTCTTGAGAGCTCACAGCTTCTGAACGCACTGCTATATGGGTTCACTCTGATTGCCAGAATCTGTTGATAACCTAGATTCTGGCAATTAAATCCTCAAATCTATTTTTGCTCATTTGTGAAGGGGCCCCATATCTGTTCAAGCCCCAAATTATAGGACACTAGAAAGAGAGAAAGAAAGAGAAAAAAAAGAGATGAGACCTGGATTTGAGAAGAGACAGCTCTTTGAAAACATCACAGACCTGATTTGTGAATAAAGGCAGCTTTTTGCAACATGAACTAGTTTTTCTTTTCAGGGTCAGAGAGAAGGCATGGAGTATATTTCTATACTTTGCTAGCATTTTCTCTATTTAGAAAAAAAAAATTCATTTAAACTCTTCTAACTTCTTTATTTTGTGCCACAATTATTTTTTGGCACAGTATTTTATAAGAATAATTTTTTTTTACATTATTTATATGTGGACTATTGTCCTCATCTTGTTATCACAATGTTTTCGTTTATGTCAATCTAGTTAGCTTACAATCAAATCATATCTATAATACAATCACATCTATCCAACTAAATATGTTAGCTCTATCTCTGATATTGAGCGCTTTCTAATAAGTACCACGCATATAATATATAAATAATTATACATATATATATATTTATTTATATTTATATACACTTTTCACATATAATACAAAGTATATATGTCACACTTTAATTGACAAATGATAGTTTTTTTTATAATTTACTTACCTTTCCGATGGTTCAATTGGTTTGCCATCACGAGTCCACTGGACAGGAGTATTGTGAGGATTTGTAGCTACACATTCAAGAACAATATCATCATCTTCTCTCACATTTGTATCTTGTAATTTCTTGGAGAATTTGATATCAGCTTGAAATAAATAAGGGAAAATTAAAAGGATATTCTAAACATTTCTATAACATTTATGTGGGGCGATGGATAAATTGTCGTCTAAATATCATAAAAAGAAAAACAATATTGGCATTTCATTTTGACAGATATATTTACCCACATTACACAAAAATATCTTGCAATACTAAAGAGTAAATTTTTTTCGATAAAATCACCATTGGCTTCAACCATGGCCTGCAGATGATCATCAGCATCACTTTTGGACAGTCGTCTTGTTTAAGTTGGTGAATGCTGCCATAATCCTTGCCTTCAGTTCATCTTTGGTCTTACAAGGTTTTTTTTTGTTGGTCTCTTGCTCAACTGTGCCCCACACATAATAATCAAGAGAGTTGCAGCCTGGAAAGTTAGGTGGCCATAAGTAAGGGGCTATGTGATCGCAGAAATTATCTGACAGCCATGACTGGGTTCTCGTAAACGTGTGGCATGGTGCAAAGTCCTGTTGCCAGACATAGGGTCTTCCAGCAGCCACACTCTTGAACAAGGGCAGCACTATCTCCTCAAGGTACTTGATGTTGGCCTCTGTGTTGAATTTAAGGCCTTCATCAATAAATTCAGGAGTTCTTTTCTTAGCAGAATGATCAGAGCATGTTTTCCGAGCTGCCATACTTTCATAATAATCATTAGCTCCCATACCTTCATAATAATCATTAGCTCCCATACCTTCATAATAATCATTAGCTCCCATACCTTCATAACAATCATTAGCTCACATACCTTCATAATAATCATTAGCTCCCATACCTTCATAATAATCATTAGCTTCCATACCTTCATAACAATCATTAGCTCCCATACCTTCATAATAATCATTAGCTCCTATACCTTCATAACAATCATTAGCTCCCATACCTTCATAACAATCATTAGCTCCCATACCTTCATAATAATCATTATCATTAGCAATCATTAGCTCCCATACCTTCATATACCTTCATAACAATCATTAGCTCCCATACCTTCATAATGATCATTAGCTCCCATACCTTCATAATAATCATTAGCTCCCATACCTTCATAATAATCATTAGCTCCCATACCTTCATAACAATCATTAGCTCCCATACCTTCATAACAATCATTAGCTCCCATACCTTCATAATAATCATTAGCTCCATTCATAATGATCATTAGCTCCCATACCTTCATAATAATCATTAGCTCCCATACCTTCATAACAATCATTAGCTCCCATACCTTCATAATAATCATTAGCTCCCATACCTTCATAACTTCATAAACAATCATTAGCTCCATACCTTCATAACAATCATTAGCTCCCATACCTTCATAACAATCATTAGCTCCCATACCTTCATAATAATCATTAGGATTCAGAAAGAGTTGGATGAGAGTCCAACTATTTCTGAATCCTCTGCACTGTACTTAGATTGACACCTAAACACTCTGAAATGTTTGTATTGGAACTTCCAGTATGAATGCCAAGCAGTAGAGCATGCCAGGCAGAGTGAATTGTGTTACGATGCTAATTTTCTCACATATGGTGCCCAACTGACTCTACTATACTGTGCAGTTGATAAAATAAAAAAACACAAAGCACACAGGCACAAAAGTTAAAGTATAAAATGACATCAATTTACCCATTGTATCTTATATACGGAAGTTGGTGTGCTTTGTGACCTATGAACGAAAGACGAATAAGCAGATTGTGTTATCACCTAACAAGATATTTTGAAAGTATATAACTGTAATTTGAGCTTCCTGCGACAATTGATTTTTTTTTACATGCAAGAGTTGTGGCAGGATAAATCATGGTTGCTTCACCGTGACAATGCACCTGATCAAAACGCCCTGAGCATACGGCAGTTCCTGACTGAGAAGAACATTGCTGTACTGGAACATTCACCTGATTTTGCTCTGTGTGACTTGTTTCTGTTCCCCATGCTCAAAGGGTTCATCAAGGTGACATGTTTTGAAGACATGGAGGCCATCAAGAGATTCATAATGCCAGAGCTGAGGGATATTCAAGAAGAATCCTTCCAACAGTGCATGGCAGCATAACAGAAAATATTGAAAAAGTACATGGCTTGAGCGAGAGAAGACTTGATAAAATGGAAATCATGCAGTTTGTTGAATTGAAATAAACTTTTTTGTGACACCAGTCCCATTACTTTTCTGACAGACCTCATATATATATATATATATATATATTTATATGGGCATGTGGTGGCTTGTCTTATGACCATGAGACACAGGTTCAAAAATCACTCTGGTCAATTTGTCAGGAAGGAGACTTCCTGTGTTATTGAAATGTATTGAGGTCGATCCCAGTGTGTGGCACCTTTGGAAAGTGCCTGAAAACCATATCATCGGTTGCCCAAGCCTTGTGTGTGAAATTGGGTTGACGAAACTCTTGAAGGCTGTCAATAGCTGTGCTAGCACAAAGCCACAAGTCATCGTGGCCGAGGGCTTCAGTGTACTGGCCTTGTTCAAATTGTTGATCATGCTAGAAAACACGTTCTCTCCCAGAAACTGTAACTAAGGTCTGCTCAGCATAGTTCCAGTATAGAGCACAGGTGGGTTCTGTGGGTGTTGAGTAAACACAGATTTGCCTGAGTGAGTGTCTGCAATAGGGATTTCCTAGCTGCCCTAGATATGGATATATTTGAATACAAGTGGCCAGCTATTATACACATATATATGTGTGTGTGTGTGTTTGTGTGTGTGTGTGTGTACAGGAATGAAAAGTAGGTATACAGTAATAAGAAAGAAAATATTTACACAAAGTACATAATACTGATTATACAAATATGCACACTGTTTTTCATTACTATATACCTACTTTTGCATCCCCTTTACAGAAAAATGAGGAAATTTATTAACAATGCATTTCACTCTCTTCGGCTTCCTCAGATTAGAATGAAAAAAAGAGGAGGAAAAATTCCTTGGGATCTCTGAGAATGAGTGAGCACTATAAATCAAATTAAATTACATTACCTCTTCACCTCCAATGTCCAGACTCAAGAGAGTGTCTGTCTATCTGTTTGTATGTTTGCTTTATCTATATCTATATTAGAGCTTTTGTGTTGTTGATTTTATATCAGCTCCCCCCCCTGCCCCAGAACTAGAGAGTGTTATACACACACACACACACACACACACACACACACACACATACATATATATATGTATTAATTAGTATATATACATTTGCCTACGCTTTTTGGCATGTGACAAAAGTTTCACTGGGTGGTGTTCCTGGCAAAACTACAGACGCACACCAAAAACATAGGTATGCATCTATGTACCAATTAATACATATCCTTGCTCTGCATAATGGCATTGAGCACTATTACGTTTACACCTCATGCATAAATTTAATGATTATTTATTTGCTTGCCTGCATATGGATACCAGCACATGCATACATGCCTGCTTATATCTGGCTGTTTCATTTATCCACTCAACAACTATATATATATATATATATATATATATATATATATATATGAAGAAAAATATACTGAAAAAACAAACATAAAATGGACATAAAAGCAATACCAATCCAATCAGATAAACGCTGATCTTCTAAAAGATTTTAGTCTGTTTGGATTGGTATTGCTTTTATGTCCATCGTCTTTTTCATGTTGAATTGTATGTGGTCTATGTTAATTATGTTTTATGAATATGTCCTGAAGATGGTCTATTAGACTGAAACGTCCGACGTTGACATTAAACATTAAAAACAGCATAATCGCATATTAGGATTTTTGTTTGTTTTTTCAGTATATTTTTCTTCATACTGTCGGATCTATATCCATATATTTGCTATATATATATATATATATATATATATATATATATATATATATATATATATATATATATATATATATATATATATATATATATATATATATATATATACATGTATGTATATATATATATATATATATATATATATATATATATATATATATATATATATATATATATATATATATATATATATATGCATGTATGTATATATATATATATATATACACCCATATACATATATTAGAGACTTTTAGAAATGACTGCTCATCTATACCTGTGCATATATAAACACACATATGCACTTTATATATATATATTATCTTTTTTTTATTCTAGGAAAGTTGAAAAAATAGAGATTTTCTATAAAAAAAAATGATTAATTTAAAATAAAATCTTAGTCCTTGCTTCCCAGAGAAAAAGAATTAAAAAGCTGACCAACCTAGCAGATTTCATCATCTCCCAAGATAACTACCCCTCTTATTTTTTGATTCTTGAAAAATTGAAAAGAAATAAAGGTTTTCTATAAAAAAAAACAAAAAAATACAAGCAATTTAAAATAAAAACTTACGTTCAACAAAGAGATCAGCAGTGGTCTCTTTATCAAGCACTTTGCAAGTATACAATCCTTCATCCTTCAAGGTGACATTATTGATGATTAAACGCCTTTTCATAGCATCCTTCTCAATTGTATATTTCTCAGGATTTTCTTCGGGTTTGATTACCTTTTAAAAGAAACAAAAGAATTTGAAATGTTATACTAAAATAGAAAGTGACTATTTTTAGTAAAATCTTAGTAGGTTAAAAATATTAACCCAAAATATGAACAAAGGTCAAATGAATGAAAACTAAAATCATTTGAGTACCAATTTCTACACCAAATACCACCAATACAGGACCCAAGCTACACTCAAAATGGAGGGATACTTGTTAAAATGGTTATGGTATGTTTAAAATGTGATATGATATGAATAAAAGAGGAGCTATAAGGAAGTGAGCTGATGAAGAAAGGGAGGACAGATAATAATTAACACTTTACTTGAAGAGGTTAAGATTTTAATGTTCAGGTAAACCTCTATGCAAGAGTCCTCAAAGTAACAGTTCTTGGAAAAAAGCTGTTTAAATGCAACTTTCTTATTTTCCATGATATTTGTGATTTGGTTTTAATTTCTCATATATGTTTAGAAAGCATTGTACTGTTCACATATTTACTATTTGTAAAGGATGTTTTGTGTGCATAATTTCTTTTTTCATGGTCTTTCAGTTACTCCTATGTATATTTTCTTCTTTGGTATCTACAGATTTTACAGTGGCTTCATGTATCTTATCACTTTGCAAGCAATTACCATTTACCATTTAAGGGACAACAGTTCTTTGCTCTGCATTTACAAGTGGATTTGATTTGCTTGGATGATTTCTTGGTTATTTTTCTGTTGTGATTTTTATTATTTGCATCATGTTCTCAGTACAACTGCAGCTGATTTTTACTGTGTTTTTGTTGAATATTTTGTGGAGAATGCTTGATAGGGGGAAAGTGGTTGCATATGAATTTCATGAACATTTTTCATACATTTGTTTTAACGTTTTTGTTGTATGGTGAGTTTAACTAAATTGAAACCGAAAATTCACTATCTTTTAGGGCTGTTTCATAATCATTTTTTGGTTTCATTGAAGATGATTCATTGGAAGAATTGTCAAATAACCTCTGGTAAACTGATTGTGGAATCTGCTTATTGTAGGTGGGGGGTTGGAAGATGTATGCATGTAAAGTGGTTAATCATTGGGTTTTCTATTTGATTGATATGTAGCTTTTCTGAGGTTGAGTGTGGCATTTAGGAAATCTACTTCTTTTTAAATTTGTTTTTATGTCAAATCATATATTTTTGAAAATTTTATGATTACTTTTCTGGTTTTGTCTGTTTTTTTGCTTGTTAATTTAATCTTAGGATTATGAAACCATCATCCCTGTAGAGGCCTATATCTTAAACAAATCTTATTAACACACTCTAAATGCATACCTAAACACAAATAAATCTAATAGTAATAATAATCAACAACAAATAATTAAATAATCAATAATAAATAATGTGTAAAAAGTTAACAAAATTATAAAATCGCTACAAATAACTGCATTCAGATCCACGATTACTTCTACTTACCTATAAATTCAAGTATAAAACTGACCAATATTTACTTGTAGATTCAACTATAAACCTGACAAATTATTGCCCATAGACTCATGTATAAACTTGACCAACATTTACCTATAGACTCATATATATACACAACCAATGTATAACTATAGTTATAAGTATATAGCCAACCAACATTTGACTATAGACTCAAATATAAATCCAACAAATTTTTACTGATAGACTCAGGCATAAATCCAACCAATTTTATCAGGAGACTCAAGTATAAATGCAACCAGATTTTACCAATAGACTCAAGTATAAATCCAACCAATTTTTACTGATGGACTCAAGTATAAATCCAATCAATCTTTACCAACAGACTTAAGTATAAATCTGACCAATATTTACTATTGATTCAACTATAGACCCAACAAATGTTTGCCCACAGACTCAAGTATAAACTTGACCAACATTTATATATAGACTCATGTATAAACACAACCATTGTATAACTATAGTTATAACTATATCGCCAAGTAATATTTAACTATAGCCTCGAGTATAAATCTGACCAATTTTTACCAAGAGACTCAAATATAAATCCAACCAATTTTTATTGAGAGACTCAAGTATAAATCCAACCAATTTTTATTGATAAACTCAAGTATAAATTTAACTAATCTTTTTCTATGGATTTAAGTATAAACCCAACCAATAATTACCAAAGTATAGACTCAAGTATATATTTGACAACTGTAGACTCAGGAAAAGCAGATTTCAATATTAAATTACTGAACTAAGTTTGATATGTCATAAAAACCACCTATTTGACCCAACACATTAGGAAAAATAAAATGTTCAAGCTGAAACAGTTATATAATGTCACTTTTAGTTATCTGTTAGAAAAACAGAAGAGAAATTACCTAAGAATATTGAACCCCCAAATATGTTTCAATTCATTGCTTCTGCTACGACTGTCTTAAAATTAAAGGGAGAAAAAAAAACAAATTGAAATAAGTTTTGTCACTTGAACCATAGTGATGGTATTAATATTTTCTTGTATTTTTACTTGAACAACAATAAGGATAAAGATAACTGATTATACCTCCTTTCCTTTCATCCATGTAACTTCTGCCTCTTTGTCATTAACTTCACACTGCATGACAGCTTTTTCTCTCTCAGTAGCTTCAACATCTTCAAGCTTTTTGAAAAAGTCCCATTCAGGTTCTGAAATAGAAATTGATTTTAGGATTGCGTTTTTATAATAATGTGTACAAAGATACCAGATTCTTCAACTAAAAAAAAGGATTTTAATTAATGACTAATTCCTAATAATACAGCATTTTAGGAAGGTCGAATAAATCCCGTTGACCATATTTATGGAAGCCAGTTGTTAAATGGGGCAAGAAATGCCTTCAATATGAAACCACTCTCTTTTAATTGTCTCGTGGTCACTCTGTTTTCTTTTTCATTAGCATGGTTGATGCTAACCTCCTTGTGACTTCTCAGGCTAACATTTTCCACTGACATGAAGTGGAAAGATTATATTGAATCAATTGCTTGGCCTGCTGCTAGGAAAGTTGGTTCACTGTGTTATGCCAGAAAATTTACTTACATGTATATTAGTTTGTCGTTCATCCATAAACTGAAATTTGTTGCCACACCTAGTCTTCTACTTCTGCTATATATTTAGAGATTCTTGATAAAATACAAAGAATCTGCAATGTTATTTGTCCTGACCTGGCATCTCAGCTTCAGTCAGTTTCTATAGATTCTGACATATAAGAGGACTGGTATTACGTAACAGCTCAGTAATCTTTTCTTTTAATCAAGACATTTTAAGGAATGTGAAAACTTACCTTCTACATAAAGATCACAGTGAGTTGATGCATTGCCACACACACAGGAATATTCCGCCTCATCCCCGGCACCTGCATTCTTGATTTTAAGTATGCACCTGTTCTCACGCCTTTGCATTTCATATTTGCCAGGAATGAACTGACGTATAAAAATTAAGACAGAAAATCATAAGTATTGCTTGTAGGTACACAAATGTTTACAGATTTAATTGAACAAATGTTTAAACTGGAAATAAATAACAGAAAAGAAAAAAACAAAATCTTACATCAATAGGTTCTCCCATTTTAAACCATTTGACCTTTGCTCTTGGGTCAGATACAAAGCATTCAAGTTGTGTGTCCTTCTTCCTCACGACTTCATGATGCTGTGGTAGTTTCTTAGTGAAATAATACTCTGGTTCTTTGGCTAGAAAATATTGGAAATATATATCATTTACAGTATAAATATAGACATATATATATCATTTACAGTATAAATATAGACATATATATATCATTTACAGTATAAATATAGACATATATATATCATTTACAGTATAAATATAGACATATATATATCATTTACAGTATAAATATAGACATATATATATCATTTACAGTATAAATATAGACATATATATATCATTTACAGTATAAATATAGACATATATATATCATTTACAGTATAAATATAGATATATATAAAGGGTGTTCTAATAACTTGGACCGATTTTAAACGTGAATTAAGTTTAAGTATCTAATGCTTTTTTTTTCTTTTTCTTTCAGATTTAACAACTTAAGTATTTGGCAATTTCAACTAGAGAAAGATTAACTATCAGACAACGTGTTAAAGTTATCGAAGCCTATTACGAAAATGGACGTTCAAGCAGAAATACATTTCAGGCACTTCTCGATTTTTTTGGTCAACATAATCAACCAACCGAGTTCAATTGGAAATTTGTTCATAAATTCAAACAAACTGTGTCGGTGGCAGATGTGAAAACACCATTGGATGCTCGTTTACGCTATTCAGCTGAAAACATTGCTGCAGTGCACGATAACTAGGCTAATAAAATTATGGACCCCCCCCACTCATACGGAGCAATCCTCTAACTCACCCACACACATCTTGAATATTCTTTTACTGAAGATATATTTTAGCAATAAATATATATAGCTTGAAGTAAACGTGTAGTGAATTCTTTAAATAAACTAGAATAGCTATCTTTTGCTTGTCAATAAAAAATATTTTTTTTTACAAATACTAGTATTTTATTATTTATTTAAAACCAAATTAGCACATATTTCAACACAACTGTAGTAAAAAAAATAAACATATTTTTATAACAAGCATTATAACCAAACTTGACAATACTAGTAATCCGACTCTGGTCACTAACATATTTAAAAATGAATTGTTTAACTCAGTGGCGTAGCTAAGGGTGGGGGCGGACCCAGCCCCGGGTGCCAGCACAGGAGGGGTGACACAATGTCACCCCCAACAAAATTTTTCAACCAGGCTAAGGTGCCAAAAATAGTCTGAAAACAGTGGTGGAGACACAGGGTTTCGTAGGCTGGCATATGACCCCCCAGAAATAATTTATGACCCCCCCCCCAGTTTTGTCCCCACGTAAGAAATTTTCTAATAAATTGTCGGGAAATTTGTGAGTAGGAAAAATAGCAATGTTTTCAGCTTTTGATTTGAACTGATTATTTTGTGGTATTTGATTTTGTCTTGGATCATACATGTAAACAGTAATGTACCGGTCAGTAGAGTAAAGTAGAGGTAGAGCATGTATGAAAATTTAGCTACAGCTAACCATTCAGCATAGGGTGAATCGGGGTCATTGGGGTGACATTTGAGCGGACCGCAAGCCCCCGGGTGACGTTTTTACTCTAGCTACGCCACTGGTCTAACTTCTTTGTTATGTTTTTCAATATACAACCCTACAAGAGTCTGGAGATAAAACTAACATTATTAATAATAATGTTTCAATATTCAAAAATGTAATTTGTTTCTTTAAGTAAAATGTTGCCCTTAAAGATTGGTGAAAGTAATCTCTTGGTAGAAGTGACATATGGAGATATACAGTAAGTCACTGCCTATTTGCGTTTAAGCATTTGCGGCTTCACATATTCGCAGATTTTTCTGAAGAACATTATTCGCGGAAACCCTGAATATCGCGTTTTTTTTTCTGAACAACATATGTACAAATTATTCGCTGAGAACTCCCTCGATTCGAGTATTTTTTCGATAGAATATATTTAAAATATTCTTGTATTATTTTCCTGTTACTTAAGTGGCTTAAAGCATATCAGTCCATTTTTATGGTAAAAATTGGCTGGATTGTACATCTTCATTGTAAACAAAAAAAAAAACAAACAAACAAACGCAAAACATGCGTAGTGCTTGGGCTTTGTTCTTTGTTAGGGGCTGCGGCTAGGGTCTTAAAATTGGCTTATGCGAAGACTGAGGGCATCATCACAGTTCTGTTTTTAGAAAATGTTTTAAACTTTATATTTTATGTTTTATTACACATATTTTATACAGTATTTTCAAAGGTTGTATCGATCTATGCGTAATTAAAAACGGTTATTGTCCGTATGAAAGAAAATTTACACTAATTCTATGGTCACCAATACTATTTTTCAAAAATGTTTTTAAAAGGGTCTGAAATGTTCCTAAAGTGTTTGGGATGAAAGTTTAAGGCATATGGGGTTTTAACAATCAAAATAGGTACTTATAAGCATTTTTAGTGGGGTTACAAGTATTCGCGGATTCTAACTATTCTGGTCCCTACCCGCGCGAATACGGGGTCTCACTGTACTGTTGGCATATTTAAAAATGTATTGTCTATCTTGTTTTGATTAGTTCAAAAGCTGTAATAGAATGATTTTTTTTTTCATACCTTCAACGTATTTAGAAAAATATGACTAACTGGAAATAAATACTGTTTGTTGATATATAAAATTATACAAAGTTATATATCGTTATATCATACCTTCAACGTACAACCATCCAGACGTAGTTGAATTATTGAGCTGGCAGGTGTATTTGCCACCATCTTCGAGTTTCACATTGTGGATAGTTAGGACGTAGTTCTCGCCATCGTTCTCAATATGGTATTTCGTTCCATGGAAGATCTCCATCTTGTTCTTGAACCATTGGATTTTAGCACCAGGACGGCAAAATGTTGTTGCAAACTGTACCTGTTCTGTGCCTTCTAAGACCTTGACATCCTCCAAATCCTTAATGAAGTTTTCTGGCGCCTAAAAATAATTTTGTGTGAACATTTAAAAAAAATATTCTTTTGCCCTTATCGCATACCAAAGGTTAAGTAATTGGTAGTATATTTTATTGTTTATTTTTTTTTCTATTTGTAGTTAAGTCGCTAGCAATAATCATTAGTGTGGCTGACATTATATACGATAGCTATTAATGAAGTTATCGTTATCAAGACTTCAATTAAGCTTCATACTGTAAGCATGTTTTCAAGACAGAAGCTGTTTATTAGGCATTTATGTTGAAGATACTAAACATGCTTTTGAAATTATGCATCCAGAAGAGAGTCAAATATGAGGTTGCGTTTGGAAAAGGGGAAAAATTCCTTTGCCTTCAGTGTTTGTCTACATACTTACATGTATATGTATACAGTATCTCATAATTCATCTTAATGAGTTGTCTTTATACTGTCCGATACGATTGTCCTAATTACTTTATCTAAAACTTTAAAATCGACAGGAACACTAATTATTATTATTAAATATATATGCATGCATCTTTTTTTGTCTTTGGATAACTTTCTCCTCTTAAACCCATTAACGACTGATTTCCAATTGGGGAGATGGTGGGATTTAAAACAGATCATAGGTAGAAATCTATAATTAATCCCAGATGATTTTAGGAACTTATAATTAATACAAGATTTTTTTTTTTTAAAATCCCAGACTTTTTAGAAGCCGAGAATTGGATTTTTATTTTAATTTATGCAATTAATCTCGTATGTCATCTTAAGTTAATGTGTTTTCTTTTGGCCTTTGAATGTTCACCTATTTGACCTTGGGTACTATGACATGATATGCTTTCTCAAAAGGTACGCCAACACAGTTTGGCAAGACTAATGGGTGAACTGGAGGGAAAAAAGTTTGAAAACCCCAGATCTAAACATAGTACCTGGATCAAAATCTTTAAACATTATATGTACTCCGCTTAATCCGTTTTAATTAACATGTGATGTAACGAGGTGTTTCCAAAAGTTTTGAGTCTGAATATGAAGCTTTATAGGGAATGAAAATTATTGTTTTATTTAACAAATACCCTGAATCAGTCGTTTACACCAAACTACAGTAAATTGCGGCGTAGAAGTCAAATTTTCAAACCTAAAAAAATATTTCCAAAACTAGGGGTTGACATATGGCGAGTATAAAATGCAAACCTTTACCAACGAGTTTTAAATTAAACAAATGGATCATTACTCCTAACAACTACTGTACACTACTTACCGTACGTCCAGCAGGTTGCTGCAAATATATCCCACTAAGATTTGTGTTTGGTGAGTATATTTGGCATATTAACACAGAAATTAATATAAAATAAAAAATAGTAACACAAATTCTGTATTCTATTAGTGATACAGCACAGATCGCGTTCAACAGCTGATACACTAAGTGTAAACACTGATCGAAGCGCCATTTCACTCAGGCGGCCATTCAAGCAACTAGGTGTGGTAAGCGTGTCATCTGCGCATTTTCATAATAGTAATGAGTTTAATGACACATAATCGCAGTTTATTGAATATATGCATACCATAAAACATAATTGTTGTGCAATTAAGGGGTCGGCTTATATGGTTTTTTATATATCAGGAACAGTATTGTTGAAATTGCATGACAAATTTTTTCGATATATATATATATATATATATATATATATATATATATATATATATATATATTGTTTTCGCAAAGTTTTAACGTTTTCCTTGCTCTCGATAGTTTGCCTTTCATAAGCAATAAAAACTGAAGCGATTAACAATAATCAATTGAAATGGAAATCAAAATTTAGAATATCGCGCCGTTATTGAGTCTTTGACTCTGGAGCAGATTGCGCCGCAGGAAAAACTGTGATGGCATGCAAAAATGTAAATCATGAAGACTGCTCTTTGTGCGCGCCAACCAAGTATTGGCCTGCTGAGTGTCATCGGGAGACAAGTTCCGCTGAAGACGAACTGCGGTGAACACTGTCTATGAAAGCAACCTTTTTTACAAAAACGAATAAAAGTATTTATCGAGAAATAAAAAAATAAAACAAAAAGTTGTTGGCTTTTTTTTTTTTTTCTGCTGTCACATTTTTAAGAAACGCGTGGTCAAAACTTTTGGAGACTCTCTCCGCCATGTTTAATTTCGATGTACAATAATGTTTCTAGAATTTTAATAGGAGACTGACTTCTGGATACATTTTTTGTTTATTTGCAGTGGTTAGTTATTTATTACAGTGCACTAAAAGAATGGCATAGTATATATTGTTAGTGACCGTATGAAGACGAAATATACCTGTACACTTGTTAATATTGCTGCTGTGGTTGGGTATACGGATTTAAGAGATATTTTAAAATATTTATTCTAGAAGAATTGACTCTGAGATAATGAC